GTCCTTATGGCAGAATCGCTGGAGGACTTAAGCACTATGCTCAATGACCTCAATAGTGCCTCCCAACGGATAGGTCTTAAGATGAACATGGACAAAACAAAGATTATGTTTAATGTCCATGTCACACCTATGCCGATAGTTGTTGGGAGCACTATGCTCGAAGTTGTTGACGAGTACGTTTACCTGGGACAAATATTCCGACTAGGTAAGTCCAACTTCGACCGAGAGGTGAATCGACGGATTCAACTCGGCTGGGCAGCGTTCGGGAAATTACGACATATCTTCTCGTCAGGTATACCTCAATCTCTGAAAACTAAAGTGTACAACCAGTGCGTGTTGCCAGTGATGACTTACGGATCAGAGACGTGGTCCTTCACTGCTGGCCGTATGAGGACGCTCAAGGTCGCTCAGCGAGCTATGGAGAGGGCTATGCTCGGAGTTTCTCTGCGTGATAGACTCAGAAATGAGGATATCCGCAGTAAAACCAGAGTGACCGACATAGCCCAACGGATTAGTAAGCTGAAGTGGCAATGGGCCGGCCATATAGCTCGAAGAACCGATAACCGATGGGGAAGAAAGGTTCTCGAGTGGCAGCCTCGTACCGGTAGGCGTAGTGTAGGGCGACCCCCCACTAGATGGAGTGACGACCTGGTAAGATATGCAGGAAGTCGATGGATGCAGGTGGCTCAGGACCGTGCTTTGTGGTATTACTTGGGGGAGGCCTATGTTCAGCAGTGGACTTGTGAAGGGCTGTGATGATGATGATGATGATGATTTCAAAGAATGATTTAATGTGGCTCCACTTGGCTACACCTGTAATAATAAACATGTAAAATATATTATAAATAATGACAGAAGTATTAAAAAAATACATTTATTGAGTCTGTGTTAGTTAATATTAATCTGATGATCATCCGCGCGGCGGGTTGCACAAGACAAGATAAATCTTATGAAGTTTGAATTGCGACCTCTAGACCTTAGTCATGTACTCATGTCATACCTAATTATTATCTATTATTTACAACATTTAAATTACCTGGTATAGATTTTCCATCAATTTGCAATACTTGAGGGCATTTAATGTCGTACTTCAGTAAATTATTTCTGAAGCATTTGATTAGGTGAGGTGGGCCTATAATTGTGACGATTTCATGACCTTTAAACTCAAAATATGGTTGAGCCACTGAGGAACCAAGGGAGTTTAATGATTTGATGTTCACACCAAAGTTGTCTGATACAGTAGCAATGACATTCAACCCAGCTTGGAAGTTTGCACCAAGTACCTGTAAATACTAATATATAATTATATATATTGAGTATGCATTGGTTTTTTTTTCTTCAGTCAACTATATTGCATACTTACTTCTTTTATAAGGACAGATAATCTATCAGCCGTAACACAGTCACGAGAAAAGTAGAAAGCTTAAGGCTGCTTCCACTTTTTTCGGATTCCAATAGCCATAAAAAGCAATGCATGTGTGGCTGGCTCCATAGTTCTGCCTTGATTTCCATGATCTTGATAACCATCAATTACATCTTGTTTACTATTATATTGCAAATGTTTTCGTATTGACATTTCGTCAAATGCCAAAATGCACAGATTTTCTTCTGGTTCTCGATTTTTAGTTATTTCTTTAATTGTTTCGAATATTTGCCTATTTATACGAACGATATATTTGGATTATATTTGGATATTTATACGACGACTGAAAATAACATCAGTGTTGTGCGACGTATTATAGAGACTGACAAAAGAGTGATTTATCAGCAGATTCAGACAAGCTTAGGCATCGGTATGAGTCAAGTGCACAAAATATTCTCCATGAACATTTTGCGGTCAGGAAGCTTTGTGCCCGATGGATACCTCATAATTTGATAGAGGCCCAAAAATTCCATTGCGTTGATGTGTGTCGTGAAATGGTTCAAATATTTAATGGAAAAACTTCAAGGAAAACGTTTTATGAACGCCGACGAAGCAGTGGTTACATTTCAAAATGCCGTTGAAGAGACCCCTAAGGACGAGTGGCCAAAGTGCTTTTATCAGTGGTTCCATCGAATGCAGCGATGTATTGATGTAAATGGACACTATTTTGAAAAGATATAAAAAAAACTAATGTTATATTTTAAGATTAATTTTTTATAATATATAATAAATCTTATAAAAATTATAATAATATTTTTTTATTTTTTTTTTATTTCTCTACACATTTACAGAGTTATCAAAATTATAAATAAATACATAGAACTATTAGAAAGTTTTTTTTTTGTTTTATGTAGTCCCTCTTGGGTAAAAGCCTCCTCCAATTTGAATCATTCTTCACGGTTTTTGGCAATTTGCATCCATTCTTCTCCTGCTATGTTAATAATGTCATCCACCCATCTTTGCCTTTGCCGACCTACACTTCTCTTGCCAAATGGGCCCTTCCATTTTGTTGTTTGGTAGGTCCATCTTTTGTCCTGGTATCTAGCTATGTGTCCTACCCATTTCCATTTTTGTATTTGATTATGCTGAAGTGCATCCGTTAATTTCGTTTTCTTTCGAATATCTATACGAGGGTGGATTGAAAAGTACTCGGCCTAACACAGATCCATTCAATTCTAAAAATCAAATCTACCCACATTATTTAGTTCAGTTCAGACTAGTTCATTGTGTGAAGTTCGAAACGTGTGCGATAATTAGTTGTGATTTTATAAATTCATTAACAAAGTAATCGGACATAATTTCCGTGAATGGAGCAAATCGAGCAGCGTGACGTCATTAAGTACCTCCATAAGAAGGGGCTATCATCAAAAGCCATCCATGATGACATGGTCAGTACATTAGGCGTTTGTGGCTCTGTCATATTCATCCGTCAAAAAATGGATAGCAGAATTTAAGCGTGGTAGAGAGAGTGTGAAAGATGAACCCCGCTCTGGAAGGCCTTCGACGTCAACTACTGACGAAAATATTAAAAAAGTACTTGATTTAATAATGGGAGACCGCAGATTAAAAATTAGAGAGATAGCCGAGATTATAGGCATCTCTTATGAACGAACTCAAAACATCATTGTCAACGAGTTGGGTTTCCACAAGGTGTCTGCGAGGTGGGTTCCGCGACTGCTTTCAGTTGACCAAAAAAAGGACGCGATTGACTATTTCACGCGACTGTTTGGAGTTATTTGAAGCCGATGCAGATGATTTTTTGAATCGTTTTGTTACTATGGACGAAACATGGGTTCATTACTGTACACCGGAAACAAATCAACAATCAAAACAGTGGAGAAGACCTGGTTCACCACCCCCTAAAAAGGCTAAGTCGATTTTGTCGGCAAATAAGGTGATGGCTTCAGTATTCTGGGACTCGAAAGGTGTGATTATGATTGATTATCTTGAAAGGGGTCAGACTATAAACTCTGATTACTACTGCACCTTACTACGTCGTTTACGAGAGGAAATAAAAGAAAAAAGTCGAGGAATGCTCAAAAGAAAAGTCCTGTTTCATCAAGATAACGCCCGTGTTCACACGTCAGTACAGTCAATGGCTGAAATTCACAACTGTGGCTTTTAACTGTTACCGCATCCGCCGTATTCACCTGATCTGGCACCATCAGACTTCTTTCTGTTCCCTAACCTAAAAAAGCACTTGTGAGGTCAAAGATTTTCGACAAACGAAAGACGAGGTCAAAGCAGCTGTAGACGCATATTTTGACTCTAAGGAAGAATCATTTTTTTTCACCGGTCTAAATGCTTGGAAGGGGAGGTGGCAAAAGTGTATTGAACTTGATGGTGATTATGTAGAAAAATAAAAATATAACTGATTTAGTATGTGTTTATTTTCTTGGTTAGGCCGAGTACTTTTAAATCCACCCTCGTATTTCTTGTTTTTTATATTCTCCTTAATTTAAGGATGCTCCTCTCCATAGCATGTTGGCAAGACAATATTTTGTTTTTCACTCTTACAGTGTACACCCTTGTTTGGCTTACATATGTTAGACTTGGGAGGATACACGAGTCCATTATGACCTTTTTCATTCTTAGGCTGTAATTTCCTTTGAGAATTTCTTTTTGAGCACAACATTTTTTCCACGCTATATTTATTCTTCTGTCTATTTCTTTTTCAGTGTTGTTTAGTTCGAAAGATATCAATTTGCCTAAATATACATAATCATCAACATATTCAATGGATTTTCCTTCTATTTTGATTGGTTTTTTGGAGCTGTTTGTAATTATTTTTGTTTTAGATGCATTCATTTGAAGTCCTGCTTTTTGGCTTTGGATGTTCAGGCTCTGAAGCATGATTTCTAATTCAGTCGCAGATTCACTAAATAGAGCTATGTCGTCAGCAAATCGTATATGTGTTAATCTTCTATTTAGTATCCATGTACCTTTGTTTTTCCATTCTAGGTTTTGAAATATGTCTTCAAGGACGGCTATAAATAGTGTGGGTGAAAGAGGGTCACCTTTTCCAATTTCGAACTCTTCTCCGTGGCGTTCTAGTTTTATTTTGCTTGTACTCTTAGCATATCTATATGTTCTTTAGCACACTTATGTATTTTTCATTTATTTTGTTTTTTCTCAAAGCCTTCCATATACATGAGTGTGATATGCTGTCAAAAGCTTTAGCATAATCTACAAATGTTATGTATAACGGCATGTTATATTCTTTGTATTTTTCTATCATTTGTTCCATAGCGTGTATATGATCCATTGTTGAGTAGCGTGGTGGGAAGCCTTATAAAAAATTAAGTTATATTAATATAACTTCCTAGTTTGTTCAGTTTTTCATTTTCTAAGAACTTTCAGTGTCACTGTTGTAGGTAGTTAATAAACAATGAAGAAAACTCTTGATACCTGAGCAAGCGCCAAAGTCAAAAGCTTGTTTATTATACTTATTTAATTATGAGATATTGGTCACTGTGATTAAGATTGTTCGTGAAAACATGATCATCAAATTCTATAAGACCAAAAATAATGTTGTACATACACAAATGTGAGTGAAAATTAGTATAAGTACTAATTTTCACTCACATTTGTGAACCTTCAAGCTATCAGTAGTTGGTTCACATATGGTTGGCATCTGAACAGGTAAAGATGTAGTTGGGTTGTCTGTGGTTGGCACCTGAACAGGTAATGATGGTTCCAATACTAGCATCTGAAAATTACAATGAGACGATTTTTGTGAACAAAGGTGATGATCAGTTTCAACATTACCTGAGTAAGAATCACTATGGTGATATTAATCTACATAATTAGCAAGCATTAGTTTGTTTCTTATTTATATGAGAAATTGGTCACTGTGCTCGAAATAGGGAATGTGCATGAAAAAATATTCATAAGATATATAGTTTATCTAAAAATATACAAAACATAATGCTAACAGGGCAATAGAATCAAAATTGATATAAAAACAAACAAGATACAACCATTTTAAATAATTATATCTATCCTTCTCGCGAAAATGCCGTTTTGTATGGCAGATGTATGGTCGGCACAGACATTGCCGTCATAGTCTTTATCGGCCTTCTCTTTCTAATTGGTATCTTTGCAGCTTTATAACATTGTCGCTGATGAAAGTATTTGAAAAATTATTTCATAATTGTTTACTAGATCTAATAGTTAATTTTGCAAATAAAAAAATGCATGCATATTCCCTATTGCCCAGTAAAACATCATCATCAAATTCTATAAAACCAAAGATGTGAACAAAAGTTTCACAAGTTTTAATGTTGTACGTATATAATGTTATACATGTGAGTGAAAATTATTATAAGTACTACAAACCTACAAGCTATCAGTAGTTGGTTCACATATGGTTGGCACCTGAACAGGTAATGAAAGTTCCAACACTAGCACCTGAAAATTACAATGAGAAGATTTTATTTATGTATTTATTTATTTTATTTAACAAGTACACTTACAATACACATATATGACAATCACGAAAACATACACATTTCTATACTCTCTGATATGTATGTCAATAACAAGTGTACATAACATTCACAGATTGAGTCGTGCAATTTTGGTTTAATTTGGAGTACAAATATCATCCAATCAATACAATGCAAATTAGAACTATTCAAATAAATTATGTGCTTAAATAAGAAAAATCTAAAGATAAAAAACAGGTTTAATTATTAAAAGGGAATAAGGTAGATATTATACCCTCTCGGGAGTATGTATATTTTTAATTTAGGTATTAAGATATGTTATATTGAAGATGTAATTTATATTTGGAACTCGACGATAAATGATTTGTAAGTTTAATTTTGAATGCAATATAAGAGTCGTTAAATATGTCAATGCTAGGTATGGTTTTAGAAAATTCATTCTATTTTCCACATATAAGCACGATAGGAGCGTGATTCCCGAGATGAGTTTTCGCGAAAGGAATATGAAATGTTTTTTGGATGCGACAACGGGTACATTTATGCAGAACAGCAAACAAATGCGGTCAAAGAGATCACTGCACTTAACTTAATGGTGTACTATTTTATGTAGAAAACACAAATCTAGAATATCTCGTCTATTTTGGAGAGACATCATGTTAAACTTATCCAGTCGCTGATAGTAAGGCTGCCTATGTGAGATACCACTGGCATGAAAGACAAGATGTCGAGTAAAGGTGTGCTGTATATTTTCAACGCGTTGGGAGTGCATACTAGAAGATGGATTCCATATGACACTAGCGAATTCAAGGAGTCTTCTTACAAAAGCATTATATAAAAAAAATTGACACCTTTTGTATTGCGCTTAATAAATTCTAAAAACTTCAAGGCCTTGTTAATAAACAATAATATTTATATGAGATTTAAAGGTTAGCTTTCTGTCAATAGTTACTCCTAAGACTTTAATCAACGGTATCTCTTGGAAAACTACATTACCAATTGAGTAACTGGAGACAAGCAGTTTTATTTTCCTGGTTTTTTATTTTATTTTGTGAACAAAGGTGATGATCAGTTTCTACATTTAAATTATCAGGATGTTTCAAATGCCGATAATACCTCATTTTTGTGTTCAACTTGTTGAAAGCTTCATGCTTGAACTTCTAATAAAAAAGGGTCAGTAACTAATACTTTTATGAAAACCATTATTTGAGATTGAGGGTTGTGTATTTATTTTGGTTTTTAACAATACTATGGTTGACGTTGAGTTAACTGTTTTTATTATAACTGATACAAGTCTGCCCTTGACCTGAATCATGCCTGATGAAAATTAATGAGGTCTATTTATTTACTTATTTAAACTTTATGTACAACAGTGGTACAAGGGCAGATTTAATGCATCAAGACATTCTCTACAAGTGAACCCTTTGGTTGTTTCGTTTCTCTAAAACAAAATAAAATTTAAAATAGAGTTTAGAGAAGGCCTATTAATTTCTTTATGTTTTTAGCTTAAGTAGTTGTTTGACTGTACTTATAAATTCCAACCACATATCAAGCTTTATGATTGATGGAGTTTTGAGTAATATAGTAATTAATGTTAACTTACTTGAGGTTTTTCAACTGAGATATTTGTATCTTGTTTACTTTCACTTGCAGTTGAACATTGTTCCTGGCGAATCTTTACCATTAAATCCTGTGTCCCAGTTGAGATGGCAAAATTGTGCAATCTTATCCTCGCACTGTTAGTGAATGAGGAATCATCAAACTTACTGCATAACATTTTGTGTTGTGAGTGCAATTCTCTTAGTGATTTCTCAGTTGACCACTCTCCAGTAGGGTAACGGTATTCAGCCCATACACGTGCCCTGAAATTATTGATTTTTTAAAATCTAAGTGTAGTTTTGATCACAGTTTGGAAGGCCTTCCACAAATAAAACCAATAACATACACAACCTAGTAAGGGTCACGGGTATCAGATGGATACGAGACGCACAGGTCTTTTCGTTGTGGTGACCCTTGGGGGAGGCCTGTGCCCAGCAGTGAAAATCATTCGGCTAATAACTTAAAAAAGTGTAATTGACAACAAAACATTGATGGTCCGGGTAGTCCCGTACAAGGTAAAGTTTAAGTATAGTATGTTTCATTGTTAAAAAACATTAAGTACTAGGTACTTAATGCTAAAAACATTAAGTACTAGGTACTTAATATGATAATGAGGGAAAAAGTAACAAAAAATTTGAATAGCTTAATTACTTACTTTAAAAATGTGTGTCTAGGTAGAGGAAATCTGTGGAAACTCAAGTTTCCATCTTCTGTGGCAGTGATGTTACACTTTGCACACTTTCTTTTTCGTTCATAGCGCGTATGGCGTGACATATTAACAAATAATGCTCAGACACACGTACACAAAATAAAAAAATAAATGAGTCTATATCTCGTAAAATTGTCCAGGCAAAAAGAATTACAAACACCAAATAATAATATAAGGAAATGAGTCTCTATCTCTAAGTGTCCAGCGGGCACACAAAACAAAAACACAGCAGCACGAAATAACGAGTCTCTATCTCGTAAAAATCTTCAGGTACATGCTATAAAAGCAAAAAAATATACAATAAAAATAAAAGTATTTTAAAGTATGTTTAGCTCTTTCGATAATCCGCCATATATTGCTTTGCAGCAAAGCATTCAACCATCAATAGTGATTTCCATAGATTACTGAATATATATTTCTCTGTCTAGCTCTAGCGTATAGCGTTTTCTCTGTTTCGCTCATTTTGCCCGACGTTTGCATCGGCTCCATAGAGACGACCCCCCGTGCCATAAAATAACTGCAGCATGACTTACCACGTGAAAAAACTATTAACAGCAGTGGCCTTTTGACAGGCTATAACTGTTAAATTCCTCATCGCATTTTGTTATAACAATTCATTACAAAATAAAGGAATCATAAGTAACTAGTGATCTGCCCCGGCTTGGCACGTGTGATATGCGCCACCTACCGGGTCCAACTATGCCTGTAACCTTCGTAGAAGTGCAAGCAATATGTTGACAGGGTTTCTCCGCAACGGTGTACAGCGCTGGCGGCTGACGGTGGCAGCGCATAAAATACAAACAAACAAATATTATTTTTTATGTATTATAGATAACTATAACAGCTAGGAAATCAGGAAATTATATGTATATAAATTATCTACCATAAATATGTACGTATAAAAAAGAATTGAATATTTTATTAGACAAGCAAAAGAAAGTTTTATTTTTGAACTCATTTATAAAAAATTATTATGATCACTAACTAACCCAGGACACTCATACACATTGGCACAGAAGCGTAAAATATCAGCATAAAGCTAGTGTTAGGTTTGGGTAAAAATGAACGAAATATCGATATTTTCTCATAAAAATTAGTGATGAGTATCAGAGGCATTTTTAAGTCCTCAAAGGTGAAATATACATTGTGAATCTTAATCGAGAGTATATTCAAATGTTTAATGAAACTAGTTGTGAAGGGTTTTATAAAGTTGGTATTTTATATTCCCCAATAAATGGGACTATAAAATATATTAATTTAACGCAATAAAATCCGTAAAAACTAATTTCTTTCTAGGTGTAGTGTATGTCTTCAAACCTCAACCTAATTCTTGGTAGGTGACAGATTTTTGTAAAGCTAGCAATTATTGTTAAAAATATTTTATTTGACAGGCGTTGTTCTTTTTTATTGTGTAGTCGCAGTGTAAGAATATCCACTACCCCACGCGTAAATATAAGTAATCATTATCATTATATTTAAATGTTCATTAAACGCAATAAAATCCGTAAAAACTAATTTCTTTCAAGGTGTAGTGTATGCGTAAGAAATTAATATATTTAAATGTTCATTGAACGCAATAAAATCAGTAAAAATAATTTTTTAAGGTGTATGTATTATTTATTTTTTCTAACGCAATAAAATCAGTAAAAACTAATTTCTTTCAAGGTGGAGTGTATGCGTAAGAAGTTATTATATTTAAATGTTCATTAAACGCAATAAAATCCTCAAAAACTAATTTCTCTCAAGGTGTAGTGTACGCGTAAATATAAGTAATCATTATATTTAAATGTTCATTAAACGCAATAAAATCCGTAAAAACTAATTTCTTTCCAGGTGTAATGTACGCGTAAAGCATTACATTAAAATGTTAATAGAGGTCCTATGCGCTATAAAAAATACCACAGCAACAACATCCATTCACCTGATGGTTACCTGTATGTGTGCTCGATTGTGACACATACCGTTAAAAACACGGAAAATCTCGGTATCTACACGAGCCGAGCTCAGTCACAAGGACATCAGATAAACGAACTTATCAAAAACTTTACACGTGTCGCAGCTTTAAAAAGGATATCATTAGGTTAATTACATGTTTTTAATAATCACTATCTTAAATCTTTATTGCTTTATATGGCCGATGTAACATTAACCAAAATAACATCAAGTGGACTTATCGCTTAAAAGATTTGTAACTGATGCTTAAATTAACATATAAGGCAAATTAAATCATTTTATTGGGTATTTGACATTCTTCTTCTCATCAGCCCGTAAAAGGCTGGAAATAGGCCTGACGATCAAACTGTCAGATGTCTTTGTTACGTGGTAGATCCATGCTGCAGCTATATCATTGTCGTATACGAATGGGTCGATCTAATCAGGAAGGACCATGCTCTGACAGAATACCGGCTTAAAATGTTTCGTATGGTGAGTGTAGAGAACCGGAGACCTCTTTTACTGAAAAACAGGCATTCCATCTTAGTCTTCAGGGGTGACAACGCATCTGTATATCGATATACCTTTAAACGAGCAATTCTTGTGTATATATATATATATATGTATATATATATATATATATATATATATATATATATATATATATATATAATCGGAATCTCGGAAACGGCTCCAACGATTTTCATAAAATTTTGTATGCAGGGAGTTTCGTGGGCAATAAATCGATCTAGCTAGGATTTATTTTTAGAAAATGTGTTTTGTCCGTTTTTTTAGGCAATGAAAAACTGCTACAATATCGTTAAAATAAGAAGGTAAATTTTGACAGTTTATAAATGATTACAAATAGCTTGATTGGTATATTGGGCGGTCACAAAATCGTAATACCATGGTTCGAGCCCTGACCGACCGACTGCCTTTTTTTAATTTTTCTTCAAGTTCCTTTCTTTTTTGAGAAAATCTATTTTTTCGAGCCCTTTTTTTAGTATTTTTTTAAAACACGAAAATTTAAATTAAACTAATTGCAATCATGATTTTTATTCAAATAACCAGTTCAGTTTTTTCCTATTATGTCGCTAAGATCAAAAAATATTATTCGTATTTCATCAGTATGTAATTTGTATCTAAATATAATTTCCAAAACACACGAATTAAAAAAAAAACCGAGCGAAAAATACCGAGCAAAGCTCGGTCAAGCGGGTACTTGATTCTTAATCGAGGATAAATGCAGATATTAATGAGCCACATCATTGACCCAGTGGACTGTGTGCTCGTTTATCACCATTATTATATAAAAAAATATTATGGTTGTGGCACGAATGGGTGAGCTCGACCGAGGAAAGTACCACGCTCTCACGGAATACCAGCGTTAAATAGCAGCTCAATGCTGCTGTGCTCCATATGGTGAGTAATGTATTCACATTCAAGATCTTTCAGTCTATCAGATTATGTCAGATATCACATACGACACGTTCGCTATAATTATTTCATATTGACGTGACGTTATTATATAGTCTATACTTTCGCAATATGTCAAGTCGACCACTATGGTAGAAGCTACCATCTGTCATGGAAATGATCATCCATACAAATATAGCACACAAAAAATTACCCTGTTTATAGTCTCCACCGCAGGCGTTTAAAAAGAAAGGTTGTTCCCTTTTATATCGGATTCCAAGTAAGAACCCGTTGAATACAAAGAGTTCAGCGAAGGCTTAGACTAATTCAATAAAGCGTAAGTCAGTCACCCTTTAAGTACCTACGTAACATTGTCGATGCTTCTGGAATTATGATTTCGTGTATATTTCTGTAGAAAGGGGGGAGGGGGGACCAACGAGCATGTTGCTGATCTGATTGTATTCGACCGCAGCCCATGAACAACTGCAACACCAGGGGGTTTTTTAAGCAACTAAATCGATCTTAGAATTCAAGCAAATAGTTTCTAGGTAGTTAGGCTATTTCGATAATGGAAACTTATAGAAAGATCTAATCGCATCCGATATGAAATGAAATTATTTCTTCGACGTAAGAAAATAAATTTCATTTGTCAAATGTCATTTTTTTAAACTACTGGAAAAGAAACGGCGAAAGAAACTCCGTTCTCATACGGTCAGAGGACCTCATTTCGTAACAGTTTTAGATTTAGTAGGTTTAAAAAAAGACATTTGAGAAACGAAATTTATTTTTTAATACCTAAAAATCCAAAATTATCTGTATATGAATTAAACCTAATTTATAATATCACAGTGACAAACGCACTAATAGTCCGCTTGATAAGTACCACCAGCGACTAGGGCCAGATCCAAGAATAAGATTTCCTGACAAAATCGCTGATTACGTTTTAATAAATATGCACTATATTGGAAGAGTAAAAATTTTAAAAAGACTGGCGTCAGCATGTCTCGCCGTCTGATCGATGTATTATAACAAGCGTCACCTGCGGCTTACGATAAGACAATGTGAATCGCTTTTATAGTTTTCTTACAAAAATTCCCCAAATTAAATTATGTGATGGTACGAAAATTTTTGTCACTGCTAACCCTACCTGCAACCAACTCCAACAAAAAAAACACTCACAGCCTTGAGTTATAACGAGTAACTCTTAACCCTTCTAACTTGAACAACCCCGCAGGTGCTTTGCTGTATTACAGGAACTTTAAGGACAAGAGTGATACTAAAACAGACATATATGATAAATAATGATGTGTAGTGGTGGTCAAAAACTCCACTATGATATTTCCTGTGGATGTCGTAATAGGCGACAGAGAGAAATTGTTAGAGGATTTTGACAGCAACATCTACCTATCCTTAAAGTAAAAGTAAAGTAAAGTAAGGTTACAGTCAGTGGCGTAGCTACCTTGGGTGGCACCCGGTGCGGAATTTGGTGGTGTCACCCCATCGAAAGTAAAAAGCAATAAATTTTATATGATAAAGGACATGGATCATTTATTATTTATAATATTGAAGAAATAACAAAACACAATAATAACTAAGACAGAAAAGGAATTGTTATATAATTAAAATTTATATTTTGTATTGCCTCGTGTTCGATGGCTAATATAAATTTCGATGAAGTTATTGCTGAGTTTGCGGCAGTCAAAGCTGTAAAGTAATTCGGTTTCTGAGACCTCATCATAAAAATCAGTAAATTTAGATGTAGCTAATTTCAGTTCTTCAGTATTCGCCAAAAGCAAAACATTCGTTTGTACGATCTCGAACAATGAAGCTACATCATGAAGAGACTTCGACTGCGTCAGGCTCTTTTGCGGGAATCCCCGAATTATACATAGAGCTGAGCTAGTGCTAGTGGAGGAATCCCCGAAAAATAAATTTTTGTGCTAGCGATTTTTTTTATTTGGAACATTGTTCTTAAAGTTGAGAGACCGGGTGGGTGTCACCCCAAAAAAGGTGACACCCGGTGCGGCCCGCCCCCCCCCCCCCCCTTGCTACGCAACTGGTTACGAGTCTGTCAAGTCCGATCGATCCTGAACATGTTGAAATACTGCAGACTTCCAGGAGCGTCTATTCTTCACATTAGCGATATCCTCTTTCACGCGGGTTGGCATATACGAGTGTAATATATAATTAATATTGGGCAGCAGTGAGTAATGGTGGTAGCACGAATGGGTCGCCTCGACCGGGGAAGTACCACGCTCTCACAGAATACCAGCGTAAAATAGCAACTTAATACTGCTGTGTTTCTTATGGTGAGTATAGTGATCCGGAGATCCTTTTTTTTACTGAAAACGAGGCATTCCATCTTAGTATTCAGGGGTGACGACGCATCTGCTTTTTGATTCTTAATCGGGGATAAATGTAGATTTCTATGGGCCAGCATCATCCAGACCAGCATCCACTTACCATCAGGTGGTCTGTGTGCTCGTTTGACACACTCTTTTATTCTATAAAAAATATTGAGAGCAGCATATTAAGCTCGCTCTGCGTAGATCGGACCAAAAACTAATAATAAAGTTGAAAGTGTATTGAAAGTGTTGGTGTGTGAAAAGTTGAAGTGAACTGTGACATCGAGACGTCAGACACCTCAGTCTCAGTATCCTCCCGTGACCATGGGTGCTGGAAAGTGCCCGAAACGTAGGGAATTAAAAAAGTTAAATTTAAACGCGATAAAATCCACAAAACAAGTTTTATTCCATGTGTAGTATTCGCGTAAATATAAAAAATCATTAGGAGCTTTGTCATGGGTTTTAGTGAATAAATAGGTTAATATATTTTTAATATGAACGTATGTGTGAATTCATCGTGTTGTACATTAATTATGAATTATTTATTGTATAATTTAATAATAACAGATAAAAAAGAAAGTACTTTTCCCTCATCTTATCTTTGAATAGCGCGCAGTTAACCTGTAAATAATTGAGCTGCACACGTAGCGAAAATAAGGTCATGTTTTCATTGATAGCACATCTTATGTAACACGATGTTGCTATTTAGTCGAAAATGATACGTGGAAAGTAATCAGAATCCGGGTGCACTTTTACCAAAGCAAACATCTGATATTTACACCCCGGTATCTACATTGTAATTGATTGATTATTGGCAACATTTTGAAGCGTGTAAGGTGTAATAGCGCCGTCAGGGTAATACCACTAAACCCATAAATGTGAAAAGGGGTCTCTAGTTCGGGGTTGTCAGCTACACCGTGTTTTTATTTTCATTCATAAACAAAGGACTTTGTAGCTGATACGATAAAACATTGTACACTTTTTTAAACATATTGCGCGCACAGATGAAGGTAAGATTTGACTTAACCCTTGAGCTACCTAGCAAGCTAGCTATGAAATGCTAGATCCTTATGGCGTTAAACCTCCAGGCGTAAATTGACTAGACCGGTGATGAAAAGTAACTTCTCGTTTGCACAAAGTCTGGCACTGCGATCGTCAACCTACGTCTCATGATTAACGCAAATCCTTTCTACAATGGGAGAGTTCCATATCCAACACGGCATTTACTGGCCAATAAAGAACAATCATTAATGGACTTACCGCCATTTGCCCATCGCGCGAACCTTAAAATTTTATTTTTTTTTTTTTTTTTTTATTATCGTTTGTTCAACAATTTTTTTTTTTTTGGGGGCGGGGGGCTCAAACCCACAACTCCATTAGCTTAAAGTAATTAAAGGACTCAATTTTATTTCATCATCATTATCATGACAGCCCTTCACAAGTCCACTGCTGAACATGGGTCTTCACAATGAAATGCCACAAAGCACGGTCCTGGGCCATCTGCATCCATCAACTTCCTGCATGTATTATCAGGTCGTCACTCCGTCTAGTGGGGGGCCGTACCACACTTTGCTTACCGGTACGAGTTTATCACTTGGGAGAACCTTTGCATTGATTGTCGGTTCTTCGAGCTAAATGGCCCATTGCCACTTCAGCTAACTAATCCGTTAGGCGGTGTCGGTTATTCTGGTTCTACTGTTGATATCATCACTTCTAAGTCTATCACGCAGAAAACCACCAAGCATAGCCAGCCCTCTATTGCTCGCCGAACGACTTTGCGTTTCCTCATAACGTCTCAGATCCGTATGCCATTATTGGCAACACGCACTGATTTACACGCAATTTTGTTTGCTGTTATATAATTATTAAACGGTTATCCACAGCAAGGTGGCTGGCGCGATGGAGGACGAGGTGACGTTCATGTTCCAGCTGGGCGTGATGCGCGACGTGGCCTCCGCGCCCGCGCACCTGCTCACACTCGCACACCTCAAGGAGCTCGCTGTCAAATTCGTGCACGAGAAGGTATGGACGTTAATCTTATGAATTTAAATAGAATTTAAGAATGTAATTGGGAAATAGAAACATTTTTATTCAATGTATATTACAAATATATAATATAAAAAGTCACTCTTATGCTTATCTTACCACTGGCTCGGAAAATACTTCTGTCCTGGGAAGTACCAGCAAAAAACCCTGCGAGACTTTAAAAAAAGAACCGTTTATAATCATTAAAGTTACAGTATTATTATATATATTATTATGGGGTATTAGTAGTCTATTCTCATCTGGTTGGGCTGAATAAATATATAAAAGAAAATGATAAATACACATAAATATATATTTCATATACTAGCATAAATAAATAAAAGCCCAACCAAATGGAAGCCCTCGGCAGGGGAGAACGGTCGAGGGTTAGGGGGGAAAGGGAAAGAAACCGGCGGACGATGCGGGCGGTATTGAGGAGCACCGCCTTCTGCATTTGAGCCTGGAGCGGTCCTTCACGGAGTCCCAGCCTCCTCAGATGACCCGAGAGGCTGGCTGGGATTAGCCCGTTTGCAGAAACGACTACAGGAGTAATTTCAGTCGGCAGACCACCCCACATGTCGGTCACCTCGAGAGCCAGGTCCAGATATTTTCTTTGCTTATCTGTTTCGGCTTTCACGAGGTTCTCGTCATACGGAATGGTAATGTCGACCAAAAATATCCTTGACTGTGCCCGGTCCATCAGCACAATATCAGGCTTATTCGCAAGAATAGTCCTGTCTGTGATGATGGTCCGGTCCTAGTAGAGCCTGGCGCGGTCATTTTCGAGCACAGCTTCCGGCAAGTACTTGTAATACGGCAGTTTCCGGTCCACGAGACCGTATTTCAGGGCGAGCTCCTGGTGAAGACTTCTGGCTACTAGGTTGTGCCTGTGCAAGTACTCAGAGTTAGAAAGCGCCGAACAACCGGAGATGACATGCCTAAGTGACTCACCGGGATGCCGACAAGCTTGACAGATGTCGACGGTGCCATCTTTTAGGATGTATCTCCGATAGTTGTTGGTCTTAATAACCTAATCCTGTATTGCACAGACAAAACCCTCGGTTTCCAAGAAAGAGGTCACCAAAGCGTAGCCAGTGGAAGGAGGCTACTGTGTCTACGAAAGGCTCATGTAGAGCCATGTAGAACCTCCCGTGGAGCTCCTTCTCCTTCCAAACGGTCTCCCGGTCGGAAATCCTTTGTACTGCCGGGTCCTGCCATTGCTCGTTGGCTAAGGATAGAGAGGTAAGCCCTTTATCACTAGAAATGACGTCATTATAGAATGGATCATCCGATCTCGCCAGGAAGTAATTACGGAGGCTGCACACTTCGAGATTATGCATGGGGAATGCGCTCAAAAAGCCACGCCCTCCATGCTTTCGTGGCAAGTACAGCCTCATTACCGACGATCTCGGATGATGCATCCTATGGGACGTCATAGTAGTGCGGACTTTTCTATCCAGGGCGTTAAGTTCAGTCTGAGCCCACCTGAGTATGCCAGAGGTATACATGAGGACAGGCATGACCCAACCGTTATATATGCGTGTGTCTTATTCACACCGGGCAAAAGGCTGTTAAGCACTTTGGTCAAGCGTGTATAAAACACGTCGCAAACTGACTGTTTCATACCAGCCTCATCGATACCGATGTTCTGTGACATACCCAAGTATCGGTATGTTTCAGCCTTGGAAAGGGTCCTTAAGTTGATGGGCCTAGATAGGTCTATGCCCTCAGAGTTAGCAACCCTTCCCCTTTCAATTAATTTTATAGAAAAGGTGGGTCACTTTTGTCCCTCCCTTCCGTAGATGAAACCCTCTCCAAAATCCCTCCAGTAAGGTACTGAGAGGGTTCAGAGAGAGGCAGAACCAGATTGGACTCAGACAATCGCCCTGGAAGATACGCCTTCTTATCCTTATGTGGCTTTCCGCAGCCATCATCCGCTCGTCCAGATGACAAAGGATCGTACTCCATTGCCCCATACACTGCTCGAGGACGTCTCTAACTGTACAGTCAATCTTGTACAGCTCGAGGACTCTCTTTAGCCATGTATGGGCCACCGAGTCGAATGCCTTTCTGTAGTCTATCCAGGCAGCGAAGAACTTCCGATGGTTGCGTTTCACCACTTTGCCAATGACCCCGACAATGAGGAGTGGTTCCTTGGTTCCACGACCACCGCCCCGACATCCATTTTGAGCGCGCGACATCATCGGATTTGAGTCCAGGTGACGAGTGATTCTCGCTCTCAAAATGGATTTTAGTGTCTTGTATATGGTAGGTAGACACGTGATGGGGCGGTATTTGCTCGGGTCTGTGGTATCCTGGTCTTTAGGAACCGAATGAGTGATCCCAGTAGTGAAGAGGCTCGGGAGCGACTTCTGGTTGAGATCATCATCATCATCATCATCACAGCCCTTCACAAGTCCACTGCTGAACGTAGGCCTCCCCCAAGTAATGCCACAAAGCACGGTCCTGAGTCACCTGCATCCATCGACTTCCTGCATATCTTACCAGGTCGTCACTCCATCTAGTGGGGGGTCGCCCTACACTACGCCTACCGGTACGAGGCTGCCACTCGAGAACCTTTCTTCCCCATCGGTTATCGGTTCTTCGAGCTATATGGCCGGCCCATTGCCACTTCAGCTTACTAATACTTTGGGCTATGTCGGTCACTCTGGTTTTACTGCGGATATCCTCATTTCTGGGTCTATCACGCAGAGAAACTCCGAGCATAGCCCTCTCCATAGCTCGCTGAGCGACCTTGAGCGTCCTCATACGGCCAGCAGTGAAGGACCACGTCTCTGATCCGTAAGTCATCACTGGCAACACGCACTGGTTGTACACTTTAGTTTTCAGAGATTGAGGTATACCTGACGAGAAGATGTGTCGTAATTTCCCGAACGCTGCCCAGCCGAGTTGAATCCGCCGATTGACCTCTCGGTCGAAGTTGGACTTACCTAGTCGTACTATTTGTCCCAGGTAAACGTACTCGTCAACAACTTCGAGCATAGTGCTCCTAACAACTACCGGCATAGGTGTGACATGGACATTAAACATGATCTTTGTTTTGTCCGTGTTCATCTTAAGACCTATCTGTTGGGAGGCACTATTGAGGTCATTGAGCATAGTGCTTAAGTCCTCCAGCGATTCTGCCATAGGGACTATATCGTCGGCAAATCGAAGGTGAGTGATGTACTCGCCATTGATGTTAATACCGTATCCTTTCCAGTCCAGTAGCTTGAAAACGTCTTCCAAAGCAGCGGTGAAGAGTTTCGGGGATATAACGTCACCCTGTCTTACACCTCTCTGCAGTTGGATAGGTTTCGAGCTCTGGTTCTGTACTCGGATAGCCATCGTAGCCCTACTGTACAAACACTTCAGCACTTCGATATACCGACAGTCAACTTGGCACCGCTGAAGGGACTGCAGCACCGCCCAAATTTCGACGGAATCAAAGGCTTTCTCATAGTCCACATACGCCAGGCAAAGTGGCAAATTGTACTCTTCAGTCTTCTGTACAATTTGCCGCAGGGTATGTATGTGGTCTATGGTACTGAAGCCTTTTCGGAAACCGACTTGTTTGGGAGGCTGGAAGTCGTCGAGTCTGCGTGCGAGACGATTCGTAATGACTCTCGAAAACAGCACGTAGACGCGGCTCAGAAGGGAAATCGGTCTGTAGTTCTTCAAGAGAGCGTTGTCGCCTTTCTTAAAGAACAAGACCACCGCACTTCTGCTCCATGCCTCTGGAGTAGTGCCACCATGGAGGACGGAATTGAAGAGCTTCTGAAGGACTTCAAGTACCGGTGTTCCACTCGCTTTCAGAAGTTCCGCTGTAATGCCGTCCTCGCCTGGGGCCCTGCCGTTTTTAAGGTGCTGGAGAGCCATTCTAATCTCGCTTAGACTGACATACGGGATATCATCGGAATAATGTCGGTAAAGACTTGCTCTTGGATCGTTACTCACACTTGCGTGTGGCTCCAACGATGATGTGTACAGCTGCCCATAGAACCTCTCAATCTCACTCAAAATCTCAGGTGTCCCGGAAACGATGCTGCCACACTCAGTCTTCAGCCTTGACAGTTGGCTCTTACGGGCAGACAGATCTCTGGCAAAGACTTTGGAGCCCTGGTTCCGCTCGATCGCTTCTTTAATACGAGCAGTATTAAAGTTGCGTAAGTCTCGCCGCATGCATTTGGAGATCTGTCTGTTCAGTTGCCTGTATGCCGTCAAATCTGTTGACGATTGCAGCGTCATCTCCCGTCTAACAGCCATGAGATTAAGAGTGTGATCGGAGAGTTTTTGTGTTCTTCTGCGGCGGGTATTGCAGAACTTAGCTCCGACCGCATGGACAGTTTCCACGAGCTTGTCATTCATATCGTCCACTGCATTGCAATCTTGTAGGCACTGAAAGCGGTTGTGTAACTCGAGCTGAAAGTTTTCGGGATTCTGGATTAGAGCACGAGGGGGGACGGAGCGTTGACTTCATTAGACGAGACCTCTCCAACTTAACGTTTAGGTTCAGTGTGCCTCTAACCATTCGGTGATCGCTGCCAGTTTTCACCCTTGCGATCACTGAGACAATGAAGTCAATCTCATTTTTTGTCGAACCGTCGGGGCTCGACCAGGTCCACTTCCTGTGGGGCCGCTTCTGGAAGAAAGAGTTCATCATAAAGAGTCCCTCTTTCTCCATAAAGTCGGCCAGCTGCTGGCCCCTTCGGTTCCGTTGCCCTACTCCAAATTTCCCTAACTTCAGCTCACCGTTTTCTCTTGTGCCTAGTTTTGCGTTGAAGTCTCCCATCAACACCGTGTGGTGGGTTTTGGAGGAATGCATGGCTTTGAAAATATCCTCATACATTTCCTCCACCTCCTCATCGGAATGTGCCGAGGTTGGTGCGTAAACCTGTATGACCTTCAGCGAATACCGTTTGGTACATATACACCCCCAATCTTTACAACGTTGTTGACGAGAGACTTGTGGACGATAAATCCGACCCCTCCTTGGG